TTCTGTGACTGCTGGTGCAGTAGGAAAATACAGGAGAGCAGCAAGGGCACAAAATGAGTTATTTCCTTCTTTATTTATCACTTTCTGTTCAACCTTGACAGGGCTGACTGGCAGGAAGGAAAACAGCAATGAAAAACCCTCCACTTGTTAATAGAGTGGTTTAGATTCAATAAACAAACCTGTCATCTTCCATGATCTTCTAGGTACCCTGGATTGTGTTTGTTTTCATTGTCAAGGTATTTCCCCTTCCCTGGAATATCTTGCTCTTCCATCTACTCCTGATGAAATTCTATTCCTTGGAGACTGAGATGTAAAAAAGACATCAGTATGGAAAAGGGGGAAATCTAGGCAAAATCTGTGGGTTAGTAAATAATATTGAGTCAACATTAATTTCCTAGTTTTGATCACTGTGCCAAGCATATGTAAGATGGGGGGTGGTTATTAATATGAGGATAAATTAGGTAAAGGACATATGGGAACTCTGTATTATCTTTTTGATTCAGGGGGAAATAATAATCTCCACAGATTTGTAATAGAGCAGTCCCGTTACAAAAGACAGATGAATAAAAGAAAAACAAATAGGATTTTATTAACACTTATATTTCATATAGATGAAGGGACACTCAGACTGAGAAATTCTCAAAAAGGGGACTTTGAATTCCATATTCAACAAAGAACAGCAGGACAAGGGAAAAGGGCTTTGAGTCTGTATGGGTGGCAACTTGGGTAAAGGACAGATAAAGGCTAGTTAATATCAACTCCTCTGGAATCATCTCCAAGCTGATGAGGGTCTAACCCTGTCTTCATTGTCTCAAAATGTCATATTCCAGTCTCCCACACACGTTTTCTCTGAGTCCAAATATATTTCAAAATACAACCACTAAAGGAAAAAAAACTGCAAGAGAGTTACAAAACTCAAAACAATAAAAATTCTGCTCCTCATGTTAGGTCTGTTATTAGATATCTTCCCCATGCTATCTGCTTTTATATCCCAATGAGAGGTAAAATTTTATGTTTTATTTACTCTCATGGCCTTTTATTTTTGTACAACACATATCATATTCAAACTTTTGTCCCTGGTGTATATGTTGAATCCCACCTATTAGAAAGGCAGGAATGTTTACAGCCTAAAAACTACAAGTTTATTTCTTAATTCTATGTTGAGGGAATGACTTGCTCTCCCTGAGCCTTAGTTTCTTCTAAGAAAAGTGAAGACAAGTTATCTCTAGCCATGGTGAAGATTAGATGATATATATGCATAAAGATCCTTGGATGATACCTGGAACATAGATGATGCTCAAAATTATTGAGCATGATTGTTCCCATTGCTACTACTATTAGACTAAGTTTCCTCGCACAGTATTTTCTTGTTCAAGTTTAAAGAAACTCGAAATGCGGATGCCCAGTAATGGGTTAGTGAATTAAAGATGTTCCAGAGTATAGTTTTTCAAGTTTATATGTTTGTTGAACATTGTCATTTTACTCAGTATTCTGCTCTAAATTACAATTGACCTCTTTACAATGTTTTCAATTCTCAAAAGTGTATATTTATATACACTCCATCTCATATGTATAAATATATGCGGTGCATACCACTGAAGTTTTTCTACCTCCAAGTAGGAGAAAAGTCTTTATTTTGTACAAAGTTATAGAGTAAATCTTAAATGTTTCCCTTTTCTATTTCTCTGTATCAAAGAGGACTTTATCTCCCACTGCCAGCTCACAACCCATCACATTCTTTGGCCTGTCAGTACCTCTTCAAGGGAACACTGCTCAAGGTTCACAGTGCTTGCACAGGTATAATAATATCTTCATTTCAAAATCATAAAGCAAATTTTATTCATTCCAACTCTTGCCTGTTTGCTTTTGGACTTACAGAAAAGGGATACTGCTGAAATGAAGCAGGATGCCAGTTTAATTTATTTTTATATGAATATTGTGAAAATGTTCATTAGGGTAAGCTTAGTTGTTCTCTCATTCATTCATTCTTTTACAAAGGGTGGCTGAACCAACTAAGCTGCATACTGAAAATATAAACCACAATGAAATTACAGTCCCTACCCTAAAGGAACTCCCACTCCGGGGAAACAGACTTGTAAACAGCTCATTATAATGCATTGTGGAATGTGCAATAATAGAGATGTTCCAGAACATTATGGGATCATAAAAGAGCATTTCAATCTGGGGAGGAGAGGAACATCGTATCTGCAAGGTGTCCTTGGAGAGATGAACATTGAACTGCTCTAAAGCAGTGTTCCCAGCTGTAACTGGCATGGAAGTCACTCCGAGAGCTTTAAAAAAAATACTCATTCTTGGGAGCCACTCATATACATTCTGTTGTAATTGGCCTGGGGCATTACAATGGACTTTTAAAGCTATAATATCCCAAAGAATGAATAGAAACTAGCTCAACTGAGAGCAAAGTGGAAAGGGGCATGAAAAGACACGCCAAGCAGAGAACAGCGTAAGAAAAAGCACTGAGCCAAAAAAAAAGGGGGGGGGGCATGATGGGTAGAGCAAAGCTTCCAGTGTTGAGTGCAGACTACAGGAGTGGTGGGCAGCGAGGCAGGGAAGGTGGGCAGGGAGGAGATGCTGCTTTTAGAACAACAGATAGGGAAGGAAATGGCATGCTCAGATTCTCATCATAGCCTTACTCTATAGCTGAGTGAAAACATATCAAGAAATTCTAGGCAAGGCATAATTAAGGGCAGAATCTTGGAGTAGCTCAGTTGTAGGGTACATGCCTGGCATGCACAAGGCCTCAGAACTGGGCGGGGGTAAAAAGAGTACCAATCTTGAAATGTCAGGGAAGAGATTCCTAAAAATTGTTTGGGAAGTCACACTAGATGGGCTCAAGTATTGTTTACATTTGCATGTGGTGAATGAGGTAGAAAGAAATCTGGTGAACAGGTGGATGGAGATTAATACCTACTGGGACAGAGAAGATAGTAATAACAGTTTGTTTAGAAGGAAATATGATATGCTGGGTTTGGATACAATGTATTTGAGATGCCTGTGGAGTGTTCAGGTGGAGATGTGGCATTAGGCCACCTGGTCTGGGTTTAAGGATGGGACAGAATATTGGCTTGGACTTCTTCAAGGTTGTTGCCCTCCAGCTTGCTTCTGAAGCAGCAAATAAGTAATGCAGAGATAAATATTTGATGACGGATGTAGTTCCTCATTATCTCCCTTTTATCTTGAATAGCGGTGTACAAATGCAATGCCCTAGCAAATTGTGTGGACAATTTGTCCAGTAAGACAAAAGAGTTACAGATCTGTGGGCTTGCTGATTTTTGCACTCTCAGCCATGTCAGCACCCAGGGACTTAGACCAACATTTGAAGCTACAGTTTTGCTATTCCACAAACTACATCATTTATGCCTACTGTCTGGGCTCTGAGCTTTGATATTTCTTGGTGTATTAGGCACTAGGGAGTCACCTTATCTACCCAAGTTAATTTGGGCATGTACAACTTTTGGTGTTTTTTTTTTAATATCTCAATTGTCAATGATATTTAGAAGTAAACAGATAAGGGCTAAGCCCCCCCATGTAGCTTCAATGTCAGGTTTGAACAAAGCAAATTTTATACCAAGCTCTGTCATACAAATGGATATTTATTAGTGTCCTGACTATTCTTAAAACAAACCACCCTAAGACTTAATGGGTTAAAAACTATGTCATTATGGTATCTCAGGGTTCTAAGGGTGACTGGTCTCGGCTAGCTTGTTCTTTCTTAGGATCTCATATCTGCTGGGTCTCTGGGGACATATTGTACTGAACATCTGGCTTTTGATGCTGACTTTGACTGGAAGCTCAGCTGGAGCCATGACACCTATAGATATCTTTTCCATGCAGCTTGAGCTTACCATATTATGGCAGCTGGTACCAGCATTTGTCAGGCCAGTTAAGACTATGCACAGAATTGGTATAGAGCATTTTCTGCCATATTCTATCACCACAGCCACAAGGACTTCTCAGATTCAAGAGGAGGTGAAAGAAACAGATTCTCATGGCTTGATGGAGATGACAAGGTCACATTCTAGAAGATCATTTAGTTTCTGTGGAAAATAAAATCTGAGCCAGCCAGCTGTGGAAAATTCAATCTTGCATAATTAGAAAACAGATACAACATAGTCATGCAACCTATTCTTGAAGAATGATGAAGTTTCAGTTCTTTGTCCTTTTTGGTACTCCAAAAATAGTTTCCATGAAAAGCTTTACCTGAGGCCAGTGTAAAGCCATTTCGGAGAGAGGGTTTGGCAGGCTATTTTATTTAACCATACGATGACAAAGAAGGTAGGCTACTTGAGGCCTATGGGACACTGTAAGAATCTATCTTAAGAGTTACAGCCCACAGGGCTCATTAAACTCTTATACTGTGCTTATGCAAAATTATGCACATATATACTTTTGCACTACATATGGGCTTGTATCTTAAAGTAATAAAAAGATATCAAAACATTCTATCACAACATATTCTATCAGAAATTTGCTATTTATATCCACTTTGAAGTATCCAATAATAAATTTTTTCCTGATCTGGCACAAATGCTCAGTAGACCATTGAATATGAAAGTCTAGGCCTTTGCAGAGAGCTTAGGATTGGGACTTTTGATTTAGCAAACATCTGGACATAGACTTTTATGCTTTTATTCGTGTTTCATAGTTATACATAGTAGCTGGGTTCATTCTGACATAATCATACATACATGGAATTTAATTTTCTTCATTTCAGTCTCTAGGGCCTCCTCTTTTCCTCCTCCCTCCCATTGTCCCCTTCCTTTACTCTTCTGGTCTTCCACTTATTCGTTTGCTTGTTTTTTTTTTTAATTGGTGCTTTATGGATACATAAAGGTGAAATTCATTGTGGTATATTTACACATGCACACAGTATAACTTGGTCAAATTCATTCTGCTTTTCCTTCCGTTTCTTAGCCCTCCTCCCTTCTTCTTCTCTTTCTTCTACTCCACTGATCTTTTTGATATCCAAACCCT